CTCATGACCACTATCTTATCATACAAGCATAAAAGTTCTACATAAACTTCTCATAAGATTTTAGGTTCACATCGTCATAAAAACAATCATATACGTCATACTAAACATACATATCTAACCACATTTCATAAACGTTTCCAAGCTACAGTCGATTCACAATTAATAAACATAGATCGATGCTAAAAAAATTAAAGATAACAATTCAATATAAAGTACATTTAATAAACAAGTATAACTCAATATGGTGCTGCTAATACATATATCGAGACACGTCAACTAGAAATGACACGTCATTGTGATGAGCCAACTAAGCTCCATCAACAATAAACTAGAGATAAGCGACACCCTAGAGTAGAGCACGTTGACCAGAACATCAACCGTCGATAAGGTAGGTCCATTAAGGTCAACAACCTAAGGTTATTCAATTTGAAAGATCCGCACATCGGATTTTCGATCTGTAAGTTCTCAAAGGTCCAACAACTGACAACTAGGGTGTTCACAAAATTGTACAACGAACTAACGATCGGATTGTCATCAATCACACAAATAAGTGGCGGTCCAGTTTGATCACCATACCAAACAATTGAATTTCGGGAAACCGAGCTAGACATAGGTTCACAGGAAGGTATTTGGTACTTAGACAACACTCGTGGACGGTCCCACGCATCGCCACACGCGGGTTAGTCAAGGTGGAGGGTTTAGAAACCCCAAATTTTCAACATTAACTAAATAAGCTAAAATTTATGTCATAGCTAGAGCTCAGCAAGGGAAACACTTTTCACAACTAGGCCAAAGACAAATTCTAACCGGAAACCGCCCAAAATCACTGGTGAAAACTGGATTTCTAAGGTTCTACGCACCAACTCTAAAATGAATATGAAAGAACAAACTAAGCATATGATCTTGAAGATTATGAAGAGTAGATGAAGTTTCATACTTCACTTGAAGGAAATGGTTGCCGGAATCGCCGGAAAAATGACAAAACCGCCGGAAAACCTACGAGAACTTGCTGCCTCAAACTGGAAAAATGGATAAGAAAATGGAAAATCTAACACTACAGGGTTGTAGGGTTCATTAAGAGTTTTCTATGGACACCAAGATCACCCAAAACGGAGACCGGATGAAGGAGATACAAGCGGGTCAAGTTTGTGATTTTATGGGTCGAAAACGCCCCAAAACGGGTCAAAATCAGACCCCTCCTTCCATTTTTTTTCTTCAGAAAACTCCCGTCTTTCTAATTGGTCCCCCCCCTCTTTTATTAAACTCCTTTAACCTTTAACCCACATGTGAGAATTACATAATTCCCACAATCTATAGTTCACAACTTCAAACGTCCGTAACTATATCGTTATAACTCAGACTCGCAAACGGCTTTCGCCTATGCGCTCGTGGCTTCGAGACCTATTCGAAAACGTTACTTGTGATCTCAAAAGGTCAACAAATTTTTGATAATTACCTTCCAAACTTCAAACTTTGTAACTAATTTAATTAAAGTCTAAATCCAAATAAATTAATATAAATTTTCAAAAATAATATAAAATCTCAATAATACAAATATGTAGATTATAATAGTGAAATCCAGGTACAGGATTTCACAACCATACTATTTATGGATCGTGCTTGGTTAATCAGTGATGGGCGATCCTTATGGCCATACATACTTAAGGGTGATCATGCTTGGTTAATCTGCGATGAGTGATCACTGCCTAACAGTTTTGTAGGTGTGACTCTACTTGGTTAATCCTCGATGGGGGGTCATTACCTACTTGGTTATCTTTTCAGAAGTGGTCCTGCTTGGTTAATCCGCAATAGAGGACCATACTATTTATGGATCATGCTTGGTTAATTCGCGATGGGGGGTCACTACCTACTTGGTTACCTTCTCAGGGGTGGCTCTGCTTAGTTAATTCGCTATGGGGGACCACTTCCTGTTTGGTTACTTATGTAGGCTTCGGCTGAACTGCGTCTCTCTAGCCCTAATTTTTAGTGTATTTATGAAATATAGTTTTTGAGAATCCTTGTGGTTTGAATTAGAAAAGTCATTGGATGTCTGGGTGACTCCTTCAGAGTTTTTAGCGACTTGACTATGATTTCATAAGTATGAACTTATTTTTGAGGTTTATAAATTGTGATCGATGGTCTTCTTTTTATTGATTATCACATACTTGTATTATTGTCTCTCACCCAAGCTTCGTAGCTTATTTGGGTTCTTGTTGGGCCCATGCACCATTTCCCTGGTGTAGGTACTGATTGTACATTTGACAGGTCTAAGTAGATTACGAGAAGTCGCTTGGTATTTTGGTTCCATTGAGTGGTCCAGAACCCAATGTTGTTGGATTTCGTTGGGTGGTACTCTATGTTTTCTTCTAGAAAGTGTTTTACGAAAAGTTCAGAGTTTAACAAATGGTGAACTATGAATGGCTCGAACCCTATTTAAAGTAAGTAGGTAGTCTAACGAGTAGGTTAGATGCAACCATAAAGTATCCAAAAATTACTAAGCAATTCAAACCTTGAGTTATGCTTGTACATATCCCAAAGACGGAGTATGTTAGATAAACAGGTATTGGTGATGTCACGTGTCGATCATGGACGTATGTTGGGACCGAGGCGTGACAGTAAAAGTCTGAAACCCATCATCATCGTCGTTGTTCAATATAAAGTTATATAACTAATACATGATAAAGTTACATGGTGGAAGTTTTATCTACGCTAAAAGAGATAAGGTAATTAAACTGGGTGGGTTGCTTGAGAATATTACATAATTGCACGCCACTTTTGAAAATCCTTCTCACAGTTTCATTAAAAAAACAAAACAAAACAAAACATATGGTCTAGTGGTACACTTGTAAGTGAGAGGTCTTAGGTTCGATTATCGCCAAAGCCAGATTTGAACCACATTACTATGGCTCACTCATTGTGAGACTTAGCCTACTCTTCCATCCATTAGTATAGATAATATCGTTTGTTCAAAAAAAAAATAAGTATAAAATGAAAAGACCCGTGGTTTGGCTAAAATTTCAAGAGAAAAAAAAGTGTGAGGATGGCTTCACCTTTCAAAACATTGATGCATGAGCCACTTAGTGCTACGGTCTATTGGTATTACCATTCACTTGTAAGTAAGAAATCTTATGTTCGATTCTTGCCAAAGGCCTATTGTGCGGCTTAACCCACTCCCCCACCCTCTTAGTCAAGATAATATTGTTTGTTTAAATAAATAAAAAAAAACATTCATGATACTTTATTTATTTATTTATAAATAAATGTCAGGATGAGTCCAGAACCATTTTGGTACCTTATGGCTGTGCGCCTGGATATATTATGTAGTGTCTTGTAACAGATGAAATTGATTACAAATTTATAATATTTAAATGTGTTTAATACAATCGTCTAAATAATACAACATTTAATTACGATTTATTTTTCATAAGCGTGATTTATTAGTCAAACTTTTATAGATGCATCATGTTGCCACTTAGTATTATGGTCTAGTGGTATTCCTCTTCACATGCAAGTAAGAGGTTTTAGGTTCGATTCTCACCAAAGACAAATTTGAACCACATTATTATGGCTCGTCTACTGTGAGGCTTAGCCAACTCCTATTTCCCCGCTCTTTTTTTTTATATATATTTGTTTGAACATACGATATTATATATACTAAAGGGGGATGAGAGTGGGTTAAGCCTCACAATGGGTTAGCAATAATGTTGTTCTAATTTGCCTTCGGTGAGAATTGAACCTAAGACTTCTCACTTACTAGTGAAGAGGAATACCACTAGACAGTAATACTAAGTGGCACTCCCCCACCCCATTAGTGTAGGTATTGTCGCTTGTTAGGAAAAAAAAAGGATGCATCATAAGTGCATCTATGATTTATAACCACTTCTATATATTTTGGTTTTTTTTTTTTTTTTTACAAGAAACGATAGAGTGATATTCATTGATCATCACAAACAATTACAGTGGTTGCCAATCAGTTACAATAGTTCCAATGACCAAGAAATTGATCTGGAGTAAGTTTGCACAATGAAACAAATCCTATACGAATACCACAAGCACTGGCTGATTCGTGAGTGCTTCTCTATACAAGACCTTGGCTAACATGCTACATTTCTCGTGGAAATACATTTATTATAAACATATTAAAATTTTATTAAAAATGAAAAGTTTTCAGAAATGGCACATGAAAGTGATTTTGAAGAAGCATCTAACAAATTATTATTCTGAAATCGCTTCTACGAGCTAGAAGTAATTCTAGATTTTTCTCACTTTTAGCTGTTAGAAAACGGTCTTGACCATTTCATAAGCAATCACAAATAAGCCACGTTTTTATTTGATACAATGATGTAAGTACATTAGAGAGAGAGCTTTGATCTAAACCAAAGAACGTGTCAGCTATAATAAATTGGTATCAAACTCATCATGTACTAGAAGTAAACCTAACCTTATGTTTGGATGAGAAAATATATTAAGGAAAATCAAAATGATGAAATTTAAATGATAAATTTAATTTCCTAAAGATTATGAAGTTTCTTTTTTGGCTATTATGAAACTATAATAAATTTCAATTATATGTGTCAGTCTATGAATGGAAAATAATAAACTCTCTTTTGTGAAAATTATAAATGACAATTGTTTACATAAATTTTCAAATTGGGAATTGTTCTTTCTAAATTCCAAGTTTTATAAATTTCCGCACAAAAATTATAAATTTCTAAAATTATAAATTCAAGAAAGAGAATTGATCATCTTTTTTTATCCAAATTTTAAGTTTATATCTTTTCTCCAAACGCGAAATCTAACTTATAAAATAAAAATGATTAACACAACGAGTAACAACTAAAGTTACCGCACACGTTTTCCCTGTAAAAGAAAAACCCTTTTCATCCCAACCATGCCTTAAAAATGTAGGGTTCCTACCAATGTGTAAAGAGTTTGAAATTTTATCTTTTTAAATTATTGTAATAGTTTGCGCTCTCTCCCAAAAATAGTAAAATTTTAGTAAAAAAATAAATTTTTAAAGAAAAGAAAAAGGAATAACCAAGGCAAACACCTTCTTCTTACAATAATCGAATCGAAGCCGGGTGCAAAAGCAGTGATCGGATCCGAAGTTGATGTGGGCAAGCCAAGTATCCGAGTTATCGACCTCCATACTTCATTTCAATTAGGGCTTTTGCCTGTCGAGAGAGACTCGGAGAGAAAGGGGAATCGGAATCGGATTCGGTGTCTTAGGGTTAGGGCTTGCAGTGATTATATTGTGATCTCCGCCGCCGAGTCCGAAAGGAGAAACCCCAGAAGGTATTGATTCACTTCTTGTTCCTTGCCATTTCCGCAATCAAATTCTGATTCTTTATTCTCTAACTGCTATCTTATGCCTCAATTCAGCTAGTTAAGGTGATTAGTGTGTATTTTTATGCATAATTAGTGCTTTGTTTTGACGATTTGGGTGTAGGGGCAAACATTTATTCGGTAATCCAATGCATTTCGTGTAATTTCAAGTTGATTAAGGTAGTTCTCCAATGGCTAAGAAATCTGTAGCTCAACGAAGGCTAACGAAACTCGATGTCTATCTTTACATACCCAACATTATTGGTGAGTTTTTCACTTCCTAAACAGAAATGTTACTATGAACTACATTGTCAAGTTAGCTAGAAATGGGTTTTTGTTTTGATAAATGATTTTGCGATTGCTGGGAATGCAGGGTACATAAGGGTTCTTATGAACTGTTTTGCCTTTGCCCTATGCTTCTCCAACAAGAAGCTTTTCTCTGTTCTCTATTTCGTCAGGTGAGGATTCGTGCTTTTGAAGAATTCATTCATCTCGTGTTTGGATTTGTGGATTTGGAAGAAGTGATTTGCAAACAGAGTTTAAAATCAATTGTCGAAGAATTCATTTAATAGTGTGTTTTCTTCTCTAAATATTTGATGCAAACAGAGTTTGAACTAAATCATTGAATGGAAACTCTCAATTCAAAGCCACAATTCAAATGCAAACTTAGTTTCTGAGCCGTATTTTGTTCATCTTGTCTTGTTGGCTATAATATATGATTAAGTTTGCTATTCCAGCTTTGTCTGCGATGGGGTAGATGGTTGGTGTGCTCGCAAATTCAACCAAGGTATGAGATTCTGTGTATCTTGTGATATATCTTTTATTGAGGAGTATGTCATTTGTGCATTTACACACTTGTACAAACAAAAATGTTATACTTTTATACAGATACTGAGCATCGGGTTTATCTTACAAAATGATTTGAATAACAGATTTCGCTCAATAGAAATCGATCAGGATTATATTGCGGCTCATACTTCTCACTGTACATAGTTTTTCTGACTTGGATTATGTTCCAGCTATGCTGTTATTTAGAGCCAGATAATGCTGATATCAAAACATCATGAATAATTTGTCAGTGGCCTCCTTATATTAGAGGTTGCTGTATAGTATTTATAGAAGCCTTTTTATTCTTGTAATAATTACATTACTGAAGTGCTGTCTTTGTTTTCTTTTCGTCCAATTATCTTACTACCTATTGTGGTCCAGCTTTGTCTGTCTTTGTTCCAGCAAGGAAGAGTTCTTTTGCATGAAAATTTTGGTCCAATTATCTTACTACCTATTGTGAGCCGAAATTGGTAATTGATCATTATATTACTCATTTGATTCATCTTTCCTTCCTGGTTCAGTTTCTACCTTTGGAGCTGTTTTGGACATGGTAACAGACAGGTGATCTTTGATCTCTCTTCTTTCTCTTTTAAACTTAAAAAACTTAAAAACTTGATTGAAATAAACTAAACAGTGTACAACCAGAGTAGTAAATACATCACAGTGGATCTGCAGTACATTCGGATTAGCAAGTATCAACGTTCCATCAGCCAACAGAAAACCCTCAAACTCTAACAACTGAGTTAACCGCAGCATCCTCCAGTCCACATTAAGATAAAATAATGAATCTCTAAAGAAGCCCAGAGCATTGCCCAAAATTTGACTATCCCATTCATTAAATACTTCTCAGACACAGGCACACACAAACACATGGATGTGCACAAGAAGCATATGCTAGTTTCAGGTTTTCCTCAAATGATCTAGTATTGACCATCACCATATTGACTACTATGTCTTGTCTCTCAGGATAAGCACTGCGTGTCTCTTGGTAGTACTTTCACAAGTTTACCGGTAAGATATTTTATTTATAGCCTACATGTTATTAAATAGATCTGCATGCTTATCTTAGCTTCTGGTGGGCTTTCAATGCAGGCCTGGCTTGGTTTTCCTCTCATTACTTGCCTTAGATATTGGTAGCCACTGGCTGCAGATGTACAGGTTATTTTCTTTTCTTTTTATTAAGTTTATCTTCAGGGTGAATAGTATTTCGTTATTTGATTTTGACAAAAATTCACCTGTTAACAGTTTATTACATTTGTTTTCCAGTACTTTTCTGTTAGGCAAGGCTAGTCACAAAGATGTGAAAGACAGCACTAATTGGCTTTTTAAAGCATACTACGGAAATCGGATGTTTATGGCTTACTGTTGTGTGGCATGTGAGGTAATTGTAACTCTTTCTGTGTATAGGCCTGTAGAAATTTCTTAATGTAGCCCGCTAGTCCTCTTAATTTGACTGTTACTTTGCAGGTCCTTTATATAATTCTATTTCTTCTTGCAAAGAACGAAACTGAGAACTTGATTGATGTAAGTGTCATAGTTTTTAAGGAATTATACAGGATGTTTCCGAGTTACTTTGGTTTCTAAAATTTTCCTCTTTCAGGTTTTAACGGGGCTTGCAAAGCATATTACACCACTTTCTGTTCTAGTTGGTTTGAGTTTATTTGGATGGGCAGTCAAACAAGCAGTGAATCTTATACAGGTAATGAATACCACTTCTATAATGTTAGGCATTTTAACTTGCTGAAATTTGCAACAGATGCCAACTATTAAACAACTTATTGGAAACACAAGACAGCCAATCAGAAATGTCATGAAATCCCCCACTCTTGGGGGATGTCCTCAGCAACGACAAACACATACTAGGGTATACGTGGTTTCCGTACATCCTACACTTTCATCACACAATTCTTGAATGCAAAACTGAATCTGTATTTTAGTTGTAACTGAATTTGGTTAAGGACTTGGATGAGAGCGGAAGGTCATAATTGATAATTTGAGAGCTCTAATGCCACATACCACTTTTTTAAAAAGCCTACGGGCTTTAGTCACTCGTGGTTGAGTTTTCATGGAGTGTCTTCTAAATAGTCTTTTTAAGTTATCATGTATCTAGGTAATCAGCGTTTTCAAGATCGAGTTCTCTTGGAAGATATTCTTCCTATTTTTAAAATATATTTCATGATTTCAGTTGAAGACAGCAGCAGATGTGTGTGTGCTTCATGATATCAACAAAAAGCAAAGCCCCTAATGCACATCAACTTCTATGACCGGAGGCGCATTCTACGTTCAGCTTCCTGCTCAGTTCACGTCGAAATATGTTGCTGCAGCGGATGAGAATGCCTTGTAATTTCTTTTCTTTTGTTGATTTGTACGTTTTTTTCCCGAAGTTAACTACACAAAAATTAGACAAATTTGACGTCTGTTGTTAACATTAAAAGAAAAAAAGAAGTTAAAAAGGGCATTTTCCGATCTTGTCAAGTTTTCCGCCCTATTTCCTATTTCGTATGTTTCGTGTTCTAATTAGTCTGTCGTACGATATGAATCCACTCTGCAAACTATTTTGTAACAGCAATGATGATGATGAAAAGATTTGAATTTTGATACGCATTGCCAGCACTCTGCACTCATCTGACTTATGTTTCCAAAGAAACTCTATTAGTTTGACTCCGTTCAACCCCAAAATTATCAACCGAACCAGAGCCATCTGAATGTTCGGTTTTGAACAAAATACATACAGGCAACGAAGGATGAAAATCGAATTACAGGAGCATAGCAAAAACTAACGAACAAAAATGAAACAATTTGAGATACGGAGCGGAAGTAAGACTAAAAATCCAGTTCCAAGGAGCATACCAAAAACTAACGAACGAAAAGCAGATAAAGATTTTATAATCTCGTAATCGTAACTGATATGAACAACTGGTGCAACGAAATAGAACAATTTGTCCAGACAAAGGTTAACGATTTAACACAAAGCAAACGAGAATCTTTATACCAATCTGAATTCTACCATAAAAGAATAAAATTTGTAGAAGGCTTGCCCTCTATTAAAACGAAATACGACGGTACTCCCACTGAGAAGAGGTGCTGCGCCAGACCAACTTTTGCTCTAAACAAATCGAATAATCCTTATAAGATCTTCATCTAACACCCGCGGAGAAGCCTGCAAAACGTTGTCTTTACCGGGTCAAAAATCTAATACAGGCTATACCCGAAGAACTGGCTGATGATGATGGCGAACCCAAGAGCAATTGCAATCAGGGAAGAAGCCCATGTCAGTTTCTCTGTAATCCTGGGAACTCGATCCTTTAATGCCTGACTACATGAACCTATAAAGACAGTATAGCTTCCCATTGCAACTACGGTCCCAACTAAAAACATAACCAGGAATGCAGCACCAGCAACTCGAGATGGCAAAGCGAGGGCTGGCAAGACCATCATCAATGCATCTGGCTGCAGCCCGTGGACAATTCCAGTGGCAAAAGTAGCAAAACCAATCTTCTTCTTCCCAACTGTGGGGTTATCTAGAGACTCGTATACGCTAACATCACACTCGCCATTCTCTAAGGCAACACAAGGAGTTGGGACTTCTGAAGCTTCCTTAATACCCATACCACCAATAACTAGTAGGGTAAGGCCCACAACTCTCGTGCCCCAAGTTCGGATAATCTCAATATGAAGCCGATCCTTTAGTAGTAAAAATATTAAGCCAAAGATAACCTGACCAGCATCATGGCCACATCCCCAGAGGGCTCCCACTAAAGCACTTTCAATGCGGGTACGTCCAATTGAGAGTGGAGCCAAAGCAGCTAGGTGGTCTGGCCCCGATAATGTGTGTAAGCAACCGGCAAAGAAACCAGTCCATGCACTACTAAGCAACTCTGTCTGGATCAGTCTTCCCCCAATAGCAACAGCTGGGCTACCAGCGTTGGTTGCGGTTTGAAAGGATGCAAAAGCTGCTGGTGCAAAAGCTGGTTGTATTAAGATCAAAACAAGAGCAGAAAGCGCAACGAATGCTCCGGTGGGGATGGCCTGAAGATGTTAGGAGTATTAAAAGTAAGTCATCTGGTCAAAATAAACGGATTAATAGTCTCATGTTGAGGGTGAAAAGGTAGCTGGGGAGTTGCATACCCCCTACACTTTCTGAAGTAAATATCAATAAAACTTAATTCTGTTATGTTGAAAGTAGTAACAGCAGATAGTAATTGTAAACCAAACAGAAAAATGTCATCTCCCATGTGATGTCCCTACTCCAATCTATGTTTCAAATCATACAGACTCCATACTGAAATCCAACACGTACACAAACAGTCGAATTGCTGGCAGCTTTGACAGTATCTCTTCTAAGCTATTGAATGTGTGTAAAGATTCATCCAATTTCAAGATATTTGCTTACAAATAGCAATTATTTTTTAAACTATTGAATAAATGTATGAAATCTGAAAAATGGTAGAAAATCTGAAACATGAACACACTGCACTCAAATTTTCTCACTTTACCCTAATCAACCATTTGAAAACATAAAAATCTTAATGCACCCTTGCAGTCTGCAAGGGATAGAATACTTCAGAATACAAAAGTGATGACATTTGCAAAAGAATCGGTAAATTACATCCACCCCTGAAATAACTAACATTACCTTAAATAAACCTTCTGACACCAGCAAAAAAACACCTAGACCGCACTAGATTGAATATTGCTAATATAATGTGTGTGTAAGTTTTGATGCCACTGAAGCTTCAAACGAAGCTACCTATACCAATTGATTCGCCTGCATCTACGGGTTTCCTTAAATTTGTTCCTTTCTTCTGAGGCCCTTGCTGTTTGTAATTAGCGAGACAAGTTTCAGCCTTAGGTCTCCAGTACCATGTTGACTAAAGCTATGCTCAGTTTTCGGAAAGCACAGAGATTTAGCTTTATGTTGGAATAACTGGACGTTTGTAGCCATCTCAAGGCACATCAGAGGAATTATCTACACAAGTGACTTGGGTACCATTCATTTTCCAACTGCCTCGAAAATGAAAGATTAGGTATTGATGGGACCACACTTGAGGGCATTCTCTTTGAAGACCATAAAATCAAATTAATCGGTAATCTAAACCTTCGCAATTAGAATCACCAAAGGCAACTGGTTCAGTCATAAATTTTTTGAAAGAGATATAGTATAACAAATGAAGCAACTGTTTCAGTCATCAACCTCATATAATTAGCCTCAATACTCTAAATTATGAAAATAATCGCATTTCTAGAGGGCAACCATAAATTGCATTAGATCACAAAACGACTGGGTAGAAAATAATCAAATATTTCATCAGCCATCGAAACAATTGTTCAGATTTTCAAAGTCACCGTGGCAATTGCAGCACAGGAAAGACACTTTTTAACATGATTAAAGCAGCAACAACAAAACATAAACCCCACAGAATTAGACAAAAAATCAAAATTATCATCTTTTGATCAATTTCTTTCATTTGAAACAAGAGATTAAAGTACCTTGCGCTGCTTAGGATCCCCGGTTGCGATCTGATTGAGAATCTGGGATTTTGGCTCCGACCCATTTGGCGACCCGGCCTGATTCGACGATAGAGAAGGAAGAATGTTGCACGGCGCTGATGAAGAATGAGAACCAAAAGAAAATGGAGATGGGTTTTGATGTTTGCAGGAAACCAAGCCGACCCGTCTGAAATTGGGCAACTGCGAAGCGGGAAAACCGAGTTTGGCCGAGTCAATAAGGGCGGGTCGATTGAGGAAAGGAGAGGGTTTTAGATGGAGTTTCAAAGGGGTTGGGAATGAAGAGGACAGAAGCCTTTCCATGGCTTCTCTCTCCCTCTCTCTCTCTCGCTTTCTCTCTGACTCTTTCTATTTTCTGTGTAGGGATTTAGATTTTGGAGGCAAAAAATTCGTAGAGAGAGAGATGGGATGTGGTGAAGAAGTAGAAGTGAAGATAAGCTCTGGCAGAGTACCCAGAAGTTTTAACTTAACTGAAAATAATATTTTTAATTCTGTACAAAAAATAAATAATGAATATTTTCAGTCCATTAGCACACCTTTTTTTTCACAAAAATATTACTATTATCATTTATTTGTACCGTTTTTCTAATAGTGATCCACATATGTTAGCGTGTTTTATCTTTACTAAAGAGATGATAAAAATGATAGTACAAATATATTATAAGTATAACATTACTCTTTTTTTCACATTGATGACCAAAATTTTTTGGTATTTTTAGCATAAATCATATTGTTTGTTAAAAAAAGTTTAAATGTTATTTTTTTTATGATTAGATTAATATAGTGTAGACTAATAAAAGGAAAAAAAATTTAGTGTGTACTTACAATTTTTAGTCGTATTAGAGGAAATCAAATAGAGTATTCTACATTTACAACATTTTTCATGCCATATTTGTACTACCTCTCTAATGAAGTTAAAGTCCAGTGACACATGTGAGTTTCGTCTCTATTAAAAAAGTGATACAAGTGTAGTATGAAAAATGTGATAAGAATATCATTTTTGAATTGAATATGAACTTAGTGTTTAGGTTTGAATTTGGCTTGTGTGTTAACTCATTTACTACCAATCCCTACCATAGCTCACTTCATATGTTTAGCGTTTAGAGTAATTCCACCCCTAAAGACTTTGCGTCAGCACCCAACGCATTTATCCACTCAAGTGAACAGTAATAGACCCCAGTGAACAGTAATATGCCAAAGCATCTCCACCCCTAAAAAAATGTGCAGGCACCCAGTCTAAAAATGCGCTGGCATAAACGATCTTCACCCCTACAAAATGCGCTAGCACCCACTCCATTTAAAATATTTTTTTAAAAGAATAAATAAATAAATAGTTTTATTTTCGGATAAGATTCTTAACCAATTTCGGATAAAATTTCAAATAAACTTAAAAAAACACACTAAAATAAAAATTACATACTCATCAAATAAACTTAAAAAAACACACTAAAATAAAATTACATAAACTCATCAAATAAACTAAAAAAATTTCTGTATTTTTTAATAATTTTTCTGTATTTTTTTCATAATTTTTAATAAATTTTAATATAGTTAATTTGTCACAGCCCGTCCCAAATAATTGATTTCCGACAATGCGAAATGACGGTTCTAACCTTTGAACGTTAAAGCTGTAGTGTATGTGTGTGTGACTTGTTTTGGAGACTTGATATTTTTCCTTTGGTTGGTTGGTAACCACGTGGAACTCTCACACACACAATACTCACTCTCTCTCCTCTCCCGTATCTTATCATCTCTCTCAGACTCTATCTCTCTTTCCCTTACGTACGGACAAGACACAAAGCTCACCCTCGAGCACGGATCAAAGCTTTAAAGGTAAGGTCCTTGTTCATTGTAACCTCCTGAGTCTAGTGATACCCTTGTTTGGATGGGAATGCGTCGGAAGCCCGAGAAACACTAACCCCGATTTTGTGCACTGTTCATGCGCAAGTAAAACCTTGCATTTCAGGGAATTCTAAGCACATAGAAGGCTTAAGGAGATCCTCATGAGCCTTGGGGTAGTTCGTTGGAAGAGTTTGGACGTCGGAGGGTCGAGAT